ACTCTTTTCTATTCTGTTTTTTTTTTTTTTTTTTATAGAGTCTCAGTCTGTCACCCAGGCAGGAATGCGGTGGTACGATCACAGATCACTGTAGCTTTGGCCTTGCAGGCTCAGGTGATCCTCCCACCTCAGCTTCCCAAGTAGCTGGGACTATAGGTACCTGCCATGTCAGCTATTTTTTTCTATTTTTTCCTACCTCTCACTCCTTTTTCTATTTTTAGTTGAGACATGTTGCCCAGACACATGTAGACCCAGTAGGGCTCCCAGAAAGGCTCACTCTGCAAATGTGTTAAGGATATTTGCATCTTTCTTTTTCAAGTTCAAGACCTCCTGGGCTCAGGCAATCTGCCCACCTTGGCCTCCCAAAGTGTTGGGATTACAGGTGTAAGCCACCACACCTGGCCCCCAGGCTGTTTTCCAGGGATACATAGCTCAATACTAAAACCCTACTGTCGTGGAGCTAACATTGTAATCAGAAAACAAATGCATAAATAGTAGTAATGAGTGCTATCAAGAAGAGAAGACAGAGTGTGAGAACAGAACCTGAGGGGTGCTACTTTAACTAGGGTGGCCAGGAAAGATCTCTGAGGAGGAGACACGTGAAAAGAGATCTGAAGAGATGAAAGGAACCAACCATGCCAGTCTCAGGGGGAAAACACAAAGGCCACAAGTAGGGGCATGTTTTGTTTTTGTTTTTGAAGAAACAGCAGGAAAGCTGGGCTCAATGGCTCACACCTGTAATCCCAGCACTTTGGGAGGCCAAGGCAGGAGGATCGCTTCAGTCCAGGAGTTGGAGACCAGCATGGGCAACATGGCAAAACCCCATCACTACAAAAATTAGCCGGGCATGGTGATATGAGCCTGTAGTCCCAGCTGCTTGGGAGGATAAGGCAGGATGATCGCCTAAGCCCAGGAGGTTGAGGCTGCAGTGAGCCATGCCTGATGTGAGAGAGAGAGAGAGAGAGAAGAAAAGAAAGAAAGGAAGGGAAGGGAAAGGGAGAGGAAGAGGAGGGGGAGGGGAAAGGGCAGGACAAGAAAAGAAAGAGAAAAGAAATGGCAGGAGAGTCAGTGGGGCCAGAGCCAAATAAGCAACTGTTGCAGAGGGAGTGGATGGGATGGCCAGGGTCCAGATCCTGGGGGCATGGTAAGAACTTTGGGATTTATTCTAGTTGTGATGAGAAGCCTCTGAAGGATTGAGAGCTGAGGAGTGACAATTGATTTATATCTGAGAAGGATCACTGTGGCTGCTGGGTGGAAAATAGACTCTCAGAATATTTATTAAGCACCTGCCACGTGTGAGGCACTGTGCTAAGCACTGTGGGAGACACAGGGATAAATAACGTGAGCTGTGCTCAGGTCACTGACAATTCAGTGAAGCAGACAGATCTATAAACAATCCACCGAAATTCAGGTGAATTGAGTCAGCAGCATAGCAGGCAGCCGTGTTTTGGTTAAGGGCATGAGCTTTTTAAGTCCTGTGGTTTGGAGTTGAAATTCTGGCTTTCTGCTTTACTACTTACTTAGCTATTGGCCTCAGTTTCCTCCTTTGCAGATGGCAATAATGAAAGTAATACCTATGCCCCAGGATTGCTGGGATACTGAACCGTAAGTCTTGGGCAGAGTGACTGACCCAGTAAGCACCCCGCCATGCTAGCACCCCATGCCTTCTCGTGTGGAACTCGGGAATTAGCACGGGACTGGACGCTTGGGTTGAGCTTTGAAGATGCCGAGGAGCATTTTTTTTTCTTTATGAGCAGGAAGAGAGGTTTCTATGCTGTTTTTACCTAGGATTTGGGGAAGTTACTCTGTGGAAGGGACTTACAAGTTTCTCTCCTGGAACTTTCTCCTGTGTTATGTTTCCCTGGAGATATATGAACAGTGAGAAAGTGTAAGTAGAATTTGGAGGAACATCTGGCCAGCAGAGTCCCTGGCTGGTTTTCTTGGCTTCAGGCTGTTTCCTGCATGCCCATTTCTTCATTGTCTCAGACTAATCACTGGGGTGCAGCAGCCATTCTTTTCTTGCTAAAGCCACTGCTCTCTACCTGCCAGATTTCTTTTATTAATTATTATTATGCTTTAAGTTCTGGGGTACATGTGCATGTTTGTTACCTAGGTATAAACAAACAAATGCAGGTTTGTTACCTAGGTATACACGTGCCATGGTGGTTTGCTGAGTCCATCACCCCGTCATTTGGGTTAGGGAGGGGAACATCATACACAAGGGCCTGTTGGGGGATGGGGTACTAGGGGAGGGATAGCATTAGGAGAAATGCCTGCCAGATTTCTTGAGACAATTCTCCCTCCAAGACTAAGATTTGAAAATGACACCCTCCCCTCTGGTGACTTCTTTCTTTATAGCCCTTGAATGCAAACTTCTTGTTTGGGGTATTTTAGCAAGGCCAGTGTGTTTGGGGAAGCACACAGGCCTAGCCACACAGGTTGAAGAAGTCTTCTGCTGGTCGAAGTTCCTGACACTAAACTCTTGAGTGTGAAGATCAGCACATCCCTACTTGTCTCATTTCCAGATGCAATAGTGTCTCCTCCAAGAAGCCACTCTTTTTGCAGCTAAGTCCAGGGAAGTTCTTTAAGCCAAAGATCCTGTGAAATTACAGTTCAGTGGCCTTCAGGCTGTCTTCTTCATCTTCTCCCCCTCCTTCCTCTTCTTTTTCTTGTTTCTTCTCCTCCTCTTCCTCCTCCTCCTCCTCCTTCCTCTTCTGCTTCTTTCTCCTCTTCTTCTTCCCCCTCCTCCTTTCTCTTCTTCTCCTTCTTCTTCCTCTTTTTTTTTCCCCATTTATTTATTTTATTGTATTTTAGGTTTTGGGGTACATGTGAAGA